CGTCGCGCGCGCCGCCTCGCTGCCGCAGCCCATCAAGCTCGGCGGCGGAAGGATGGTGTGCCACCACCAGATCGACCCGGCCGCCGTCGACGACCTGCTCGCGCTCATTGCCCAGATGGCCGAGGAGAAGAGGAACGGCACCGGGCCCGCGGCCACGTCGGCGTCGGCGTCGGCGGGCGGCAAGAGCCTCTACGGCAACACGACGGGCGCCGGCGCCGGCGCTGCCACGGCGACGGACCGCGCCTCGGCGCAGAACGGCAAGGCGGCCAGCGACTCGTCGCGCAGCGTCTTCAACACGATTGCCACCTCGTCGCACAACAACGGCTACCACGGCCTGATGAAGCACAGCGTCTCGCTGGTGCTGCCCTTCCCCAGCCGCGACCTGGCCCAGGCGCTGGCCAGCACCATCAGCGTCGACAAGGAGCTGCGGCCCAAGGACACGCGCAAGGAGTTTACCATCCTGCCCGCCTCGCCCTCGGTCGACCAGCAGGAGCGCGTCGACCTGGGCGTCAAGATCTTTGCCACCACGGTGCGCCAGCTTCGCCTCAGCGTCAATGCCTTCCTCGAGGACGCCGCGCTCGTCTGCCGCACCATGGCCGAGTTTGACCCGCTGCAGCGCCAGCTCGACGAGGCCAGGAAGCTCCAGCTCGACACCGAGCTCGAGCAGGGCAGCGTCGGCTTCGCCGGCTGAGCGGCCATCCCTCGCGCCCATCCCTGCGCCGGGCAGGGGGGCTGCTGCTGCTGCTGCTCTATCTCGCACCCACCGTCTCTGCTCTTCTTGTTTTCTCTTCTCCGGGCTTACCTCGTCACTCTTCGCACCCGCACGCACGCACCCCATCCACACATACTCCTCGTTGTCGCCGCTCTGGCACGGCCACTGGTCTCGATCTGATACGCTTTGATTCTGGCCGATCGCCTGGGGCCAATTACGGTCGCCCCGGGTTCGACTCTTGCGACACCTCACTCTACTGCCCCCTGCTCAGCGCGCCTCGGGCAGCCCGTTGCCGCCGAGTCCGCCGGCACCGGCACCGGCGTCGCCGTCCCTGCGCTGCTGCGCCTGGTCGACTCCGGTGATCTCCTTGTCGTCGTCGATGTCGTCGCCCGCGGTGGCGGCGGCGGCGATGGCGGCGGCGTCCTCGGGGCTGATGCCGTCGTCTTGGGCGCGGGCAGCGTCGGACCCGTCGGCATCGCCGCGGAGGCGGAGCTGCTGGAAGGGCTCCGAGGGTTTCCGGTCAACCATGAGCAGGATGCCGCCTCCGCCGCCGACGGCCGACGTGAGGATCGACCGGGCCTCTTCGGCGGTCGGCGACGGCGTCGATGGCGTCGACGACGAGGCGCCCTGC